ATGATTGGGATGCAATCCATGTGGGAGACTCAGATGGGGTCCCAAGATCTTTGCTTTGGCCTGGTCCAGCCCAGGACTTTGTGGCTATTTGGGGAGTGAAACAGCAGGTGGAAGATCTCTCTGTGTCTCTCCCCTTCTCTTTCTGTCACTCTGCCTTTCAAACAGATAATCCTAAAAAGAAAAGGAAGGAAGGAAGGAAGGAAGGAAGGAAGGAAGGAAGGAAGGAAGGAAGGAAGGAAGGAAGGAAGGAAGGAAGGAAGGAAGGAAGGAAGGAAGGAAGGAAGGAAGGAAGGAAGGAAGGAAAGCATTCTTAAAGTCTACTTCTACTACCTCCCGCAGTAAGCAAGCTAGACAAAATGCTGTCACCTCTGACCTGGATCCATCTACTTCCTCCCCTCTCATATTCTATTGTGTCAATCAAGATTTTTGTCCCCTCCTCTCTGAAGGGCTTGTCCAAGTTCCTAGTGACATCCTCATTGTCTAGGCTAATAGCCATTCTGAGTCCTTAACGTAGTGAGTTATCAGCAGCGTGTCTCTCAGTTGATCTTCCATCCTTGAAGCACTCCCTGCTTTGGTTTTCATACCATTGCCCTCTTTTCCTTCTCCGTTGATTTCACTGACAGCACACAGTCCCAAACCTCCTTTGCTGTGTCCCCATTGCCTCAGCAACACGTAGATATAGGTGTGCTCCAAATCTTGATCATTACGCGTGTTCTCTCTCTACCCGTTCCTTAGTTGATTGTATCCAACTGCATGATATTATTTTATTTATTTATTTATTTTTTAAAGATTTATTTACTTGAAAGTTAGAGTTACACACAGAGAGAAGGAGAGGCAGAGAGAGAGAGAGAGAGTGAAAGAGAGAGAGAGGGAAGTCTTCCATCTGCTGGTTCACTACCTGGATAGCCACAACAGCCAGAGCTTCACCAATCCAAAGCCAGGAGCCAGGAGCTTTTTCGGGGTCTCCCATGTAGGTTCAGGTGCCCAAGCACTTGGGCCATCTTCTACTGCTTTTCCAGGCCATATCTGGGTGCTGGATCAGATGTAGAGCAGCCGGGGCTTGAACCAGTGCCAAATGGGATGCCAGAGCTGCAGGCGAGGCTTAACCTACTACATCACAGCACTGGCCCTAGGGATTTTATTTTATTTTATTTTATTTTATTTTATTTTATTTATTTTTTTAAGTAAAGTCAACCACGGGGCAGGCATTTCACACAGCATTTAAGTTGCTGCTTAGGACAGCCGCATCCCTTACTGGAGTGCCTGACTGGACTCCCAGGGATTCTGTTTCGGATCCAGCTTGCTAAAGCACACTCCATGAATCAGTAGATAACGGCTCAAGTGCTTGGGGTCCTGCCACTCATGTGGGAGACCAAGATCAAGTTCCTTTCACCTCACTGTCCCCAGTGCCTGGAATGCTGCTGCTGTCTGGGAGACCTGCATAGCCTCATCCCAGCTTGAAGGGCTTTCCTTGGCTAAATGTGAGACAATTTGTTCATAAAAAGAATACGGTAGGGGCTGGCGCTGTGGCGCAGTGGGTTAACGCCCTGGCCTGAAACACCGGCATCCCATATGGATACTGGTTCAAGTTTTGGCTGCTCCACTTGCGATCCAGCTCTCTGCTATGGCCTGGGATAGCAGTAGAGGATGGCCCAAGTCCTTGGGCCCCTGCACCCACGTGGGAGACCCGGAGGAAGCTTCTGACTCCTGACTTATTGGCGCAGCTCTGGCCATTGTGGCCATCTGGGGAGTGAACCAGCGGATGGAAGACCTCTCTCTCTCTGTCTCTACCTCTCTCTCTAATTGTCTTTCAAATAAAAATAAAATAAAACTTAAAAAAATGTGGTAATTGATTGCAGGATTCTAATCAATAAATGAAAACCTATCCGTACAATTGGATTTTTAAGGAAAAAAGAATAGAGAACGAGCTCATTTACCACTATTGAAGCAATTGCCTTTATTTTTAAGGAGAAATTAGAGTTTATCCTAGTTGGTAAACTGGGATTCTTCTCGGAAGAATTGCAGGTAATAAAAACAGAAGGAATGATGTGATTGGTTAAACATCCCTTACAGTCCAATAAAATGGTTGATTCAGGCCTGGATCACCAGTAGGTGAAAGGATTGTTGAAGAGGATAATCTCTTGGTAAAAAATCACTGCTACACAGCTTACATGGTGGGAAATGTAGCTTAAGAATGTAACCTGGGGCTAGGGCTGTGGTGTAGCAGGTAAAGCCACCACCTGCAGTGCCGGCATCCCATACAGGCGCCAGTTTGAGACCCGGCTTCTCCACTTCCCGTCCAGCTCTCTGCTGTGGCCTGGGAAAGCAGCAGAAGACAGCCCAAGTCCTTGGGCCCCTGCACCCACATGGGAGACCCAGAAACAGCTCCTGGCTCCCGGCTTCAGATAGGTACAGCTCTGGCCGTTGTGGCCAGTTGGGAAGTGAGCCAGTGAATGGAAGGCCTCTCTCTCTCTCTCTCTGCATCTCTTTCTCTTTGTATGTAACTCTTTCAAATAAATAAATACTTTTTAAAAAATGTTGCTTTCCATTGTAGTGATCCCACTTAGTATGGCAAGAACCTGTGGCAAGGATAGAGTGTGAAGTATCCAGCAGTATGTAGGCACATTCTCGCCAAAGTGGAATGGAAAATGAGGGTGAGGCTATCCAACCTGGTTATGAAGTATGAGAAGTGGTATGTTGTCCAGTTGGTTCACATATTCCATTAGTAAGGCCATTATTCCTGATGATGGTTGTTTAAGAATGAAATTAAGGGGCCAGTGCAGTGGGTGGTTAAATTATTGCCTCCTGCAAGTTCATCCCATTTGGACGCGGGTTCAAGTCCCAGCTGCTCCACTTTCGATCCAGCTCCCTGCTAATGCACCTGGGAAAGCAGTAGAGGATGGCCCAAGTCCTTGGGCCTCTACACCCATGTAGGAAACCAGGATGAAGCTCTTACCTGGCCCAGCCCTTGCTTTTGAGGCCATTTGGGGAGTAAACCAGCAATGGAAGACCCCCCCCAACCATGTGTGTGTGTGTGTGTGTGTGCTCTGCCTCTCAAATAAATAAGTAAATCTTAAAAAGAGAAATTAAAATACTTTGGCCTTCAATGTATGTGTATTATCTTCTTCAATCAGTTACCAGGTTGTAATAAACAGAACTGTTGGGCATTTCTTTTGGGTTACAGATGCTGTGGAAAATCACATGTCAATGGGAGCTTGGCAATTGGGCGGCAGCTTTATCTGCTACACCACAGCGCTAGCTCCTTAAGAGCTCTTCATTTCTTTTCTCTCTCTCTTTTTTTTATTTGACAGGTAGAGTTATAGACAGACGAGAGAGAGAGAGAGAGAGAGTCAGTCTTCCTTCCGTTGGTTCACCCTCCAAATGGCCGCTGTGGCCGGCGCACCCCACTGATCCGAAGGCAGGAGCCAGGTGCTTCTCCTGGTCTCCCATGGGGTGCAGGGCCCAAGCACTTGGGCCATCCTCCACTGCCTTCCCGGGCCACAGCAGAGAGCTGGCCTGGAAGAGGAGCAACCGGGACAGAATTCGGCGCCCTAACCGGGACAGAACCCGGCGCCCATATGGGATGCCGGAAGTGAGCCATGGTGCCGGCCCTGAGCTCTTCATTTCTTATTATCACCACTCATTCATTCGAAATCCAGTTTTGCCAATTTTTTAATGGAAATACTACCATTTAGAAATTACCCTTAAATAAAATACACCCCGAATTCAGAGGGTTGCCACTGGTTTTCGGGGCCATCTCAGCATACGACCTCCTGGTGTTGGCAGCTTGTGGGAAACCTGTTGAAAATCCACTCTTGTTTGAAATTGTGACGTCTCAGAACAGTAGCAGGAGTGTGCTGGGTTAGCGATGAGAATACTGAAGCCGAAGTAGTTTCACCAAGGGCTGTAAAATGGCAAAATAAAACGGAAGCAATGGGGCGGGGGAAGGGAGCCAAAAGCAGTCTGAATATTTGCGCCTCCCCAGGGCGCGCGTCCCTGGCAAACTCCTCCGGAGTATCTGAGGAGAAGGAAAGTGCGGCACGGACACCGGCGTCCCCCTGGCGCACGGCGAGCAACGACAAACCCGCACGGCCGACGCGGGGACGCGGTCCTGACGGCGCGCTGTTTGTAGAAAGCCCCAGATCAGAACTGTTCACGCAGCCGTGACGAGCCACGCACGCGAGTTTTCCTCTTTTTATCAGAAGACCGCTCTCCCGTGTAACCCCAAGACCGCGTGTGGGACGGAACCCCTGCCCTCGTGTGACAAAATCCAGGCCCCACGCGGGACGCGTGGTCTCCCGCAGGACGGAGCATGGCGTCCGCGCCCTGCGGGAGACCGCGCGAGTCCCCCAGAGCCCGCGGCCGAGCCGTGTGGGCCGAGTCTCCATGGCGCCCCGACCAGGCGCGCGTCAGAGCGCGTGCCTCTCTCCCGCCGCTAGATGTCGCTGTGAATCAAAGGCTCGTGCCGGGGGCCCGGCTTGAGACAGCACCAGGGTTTCAAGTCCCCGGACTTGTGTCCTCCCGTCCTGGGGAGCCCCGAGTCAACAGAGGACGCCCCCACCCCCGAGGGCCCGCGACCACAACTGGACGCGCGGCGGTGACAGCGCGCAGGGCGGAAGGCGCGATGCGGAGGCGGACCCACGCTGCCCCCGCCAGCGAGACGGTCACGTGTCGCCCAGGCGCTGCCCCCTGCGGGCGGCGGCGCGAGAGGAGGGCGGGGCCGGGAGGGGCGGGCTGCCGCGCCGCGCCAGGCGTCCCGGTTGCCCCCGCCGCGCGCGCGCGCGTGCGCGTGTGTGCGCGAGCCGAGCGCGTGCGCCGCGCGGGGTGAGTGCGCGTTGGTGGGGGTGGGGGACGCGGCTGGTAGGCTGCGCGCGCGTGCGCGCACTGGGCCGGCCGCCGCAGCTGGGGCGGGGCGGGGCGGAACTGCAGCGCGCGCGCCCGCCGGGGGGGAGGGGCAGGTGGCGCCGGCGCGCGTCAGCGCGCGCGGGCCGACCGCCGCGAGTGTGGGGGGAGCGTGGACCGCGGCGCGGCGGCGTGACTGCTTTCCCGCGGCGAGGACACTGTGCGGCGGCGCAGCCCCGGGGCCCGCGAAGCCGGAGCAGGCGGCCGCGTCCGGGCATGGTGGTGTGGGGCAACGCGGAAGGTGAGCGACCCCCGGCCGGCGGCGGGGTGGGGGAGGGGCAGGGCCGGACACGAGTCGCCGGAGCCGGCCGCAGAGACGCGCCTGGCGGCTGCGGGCCTCCTCAAGCCCGGCGGGGCGGGGGAGGGGCGCGCCGGCCGCGGGGCCCGCAGCCCCGTGCGTCCCTCGCGCGGCCTGCGGCTGCCCCGCGGCTCCCGCTCCCGCGCCGGAGCTGCCGGGTTATGTAACGCGTGACCTCCGCTTCCCCGCCGCCATGGCGCGGCCGGCCCCGGCGCCCGCACACGACCGCTCCGTCGGCCCCGCGCGCCCGCGGCCCTCCCCGCGCGTCCCGCCGGCGGACACCTCCCCGCGCCGCAAACTCGTCGCTGCTGCCCCTGCTGTCGCGCCGGCGCCCGGCCGGCCCTTCCGTCCCGCGCCATTCATTCGTGCGCGTTTGCGGGCGTCCGCAGAGCGCTGTCGGGGACCGGCGCTGGCCCGCAGGCCCCCGCGCGGGGTCCCGGACCCCGTCGGGGAAATACCCCCGGACAGTTTTTGGGCACTCCTGGCTTGTCCGTCCCCTCACGTGCTGGGCGCCTTTGCCGCGGCCCCCGCAGCCGCCGCCGCGGTGCAGCCGGTGCGTGTGCACTGCGCGCTCTGCGTGTGCCCAGTTTGTGAACGGGTCTCCTTGCTAACAGCTCTCAGGGCGCGGATTCTGTCTTTCATCTGTTTAGCCCTGTTTTATGGTAAACAATACATTTCTGTTAAGAGGTTTTTTTTTTTAAAGGCATGGGAGTCACTTTTTAGGATTCATGTCTGTGAAGGCTCAAGTAGAAAATAATGTTTCGAGATAAAGTGCTTGTGTAGGGTCTCTCCATGCCCCCCGCCCCTAACTTCATAAGAGAGAAAGAAAGAGACCTGCGCTCCCAGGTGCAGCCTAGTCGCTAAAGTTACAGGGGTCGCGTGGGAGGTGTGTTTTGATAGCCCCGCTTTCTTTTGACAGCTGCTGTAATAGAAAGACGAGAACTTCAGAATTAGATGTGGGTTTGAATTCTGGTTTTGCCACTTATTAGCCATGTGACCTTGGACCAGGTTACTGGTATCTTTGATTTTTTTTTTTTCTCATTTATAAAATGAGAACTTAAGTTCCCACTTTGGGTAGCTGAGGATTAAGTGAATTCTTCAATGTAAGGCATCTAGTGAGACCGTGGTATATAGTGGGTGTGCAATAAATCCATATTCCCATCGTCATACTTCCTTACTGAAATCCACAGTTAGAAGGAACCAAGGTGTTCTAGAGGGGAAGTGTGAGAGGAAAGCTAACCGGAAGAGAAAAGCCGCACTCTTGTTTGCATCCGCATGAATACCCGAACAAGTCCTAGACTGGGATATCCCTGGTTCATTCTGCCTTTCAAGAATGTGTATGTGTGGCATATTGTAAATCACAGGGTAGATTAAACAAAACGTTTAAGAATGAAGAGGGGCCTTTGTAGCGGGTAAAGCTGGTATCCCCTTACGGGTGCTGGTTCTTGTCCCAGCTGCTCCAGTTCCACTCTAGCTCCCTGCTAATGACTTAGGAAAAGCAGCAGCAGATGGCTCAGGTATTTGGGCCCCTGCCACCAGCATAGGAGACCTGGATTTAGCTCCTGGCTCCTGGCTTCAGCCTGGCCCAGCCCTGGTTGATGGCGTCCATCTGGGGAGTGAACCAGCAGATGAAGGAACTTGGTCTCCCCCTCTCTCTGTAACTCTGACTTTGAGATTCATAAATAAATCTTTAGTTAACATGGATATTAATTGCTACTAAAGAATAATTTTTTTCCCAATGCAACTCAGAAGGAGGTGGGAGGGGAATGAAGGATGTTAAAAAGTCTTTTTCAGAGGCAATGAATTTGCAGGCCCTTTGAGTATCTAATCTACTTGTCAGCTGCACGTGAATCCTAGTCTACTTCCCCAGTATTTCTTGCTGGACCTGGTGAAACAGTGGCTTTGCTGGAGGTGGTATTCCTTATGGCTGACTACCCCACATGAGAATCAGTGTGATCTTTTGAAAGCTAACTCAGATTGTTTCTAGCTCGGAGTCTCCTGAAAGCTTCCTGTTAACATTGCATCCAGTCCCTTACCCCAACCCATCTGGACGTGAGGTGATTGGGCACCTGCTGACTTCCATCCCTCATCTCCTCCCACATGACTCATCTCTACTCTGGTCTTTCCTTGGATATTAGACTTGCTGTTCCCTTAGCTGGACCACTCCTGCCTCAAGGTGGTCTTGGCTCTTGCCAGTGCAGCTTCAGTTTGCTGCCCAAATGTCACCTGAGAGAGGCCCTCCCTGGTCCCTAAAGGAGAAGAAGCCAGCCCCCCTCTATCACTTTTGATTCTTTGTTTATAAGTAGGTGAAGATACAGTATTTTATTATTTATTGATTTCCTCTCATCCCCATACTACTCTGATCCCAGGCCTCTTCCCAATTAGAGGACGGTGGCCTGATTTGTTCCCAGCTCTGTCTTCAGTTCTTAGAGCTGTGCCTGATAGGTAACAGGCTCTCAGTAGAACTTGTTAAGTGAATAAGTGGTGTAGTGGATTTGAACGTTGGCTCTGCAATCAGTCATATCCTGGCTCCTAACATTTACTGTTTGTGTGTCCCTGGGCATGTTAGTAATTTGGTGCTTTTCTTGTCTGTAAGGTGACTGTAATACCTATCTTGTAGGCTTACAGTGAGTCATTGGGTTAATCGTAAAGTGCTTACGATGCAGTTTTTTATAATATTTATTTGCGAGGCAGAGTTACAGAGAGGGAGATGCAGAGAGAGAGAGGTCTTCCATCGGCTGGTTCACTCCCCAAATGGCTGCAACGGCAAGAGCTGAGCTGATCCGAAGCTAGGAGTTTTTTCCGGGTCTCCCACACTGGTGCAGGGGCCCAAGGACTTGGCCATCTTCTACTGCTTTCCCAGGCCTTAGCAGAGAGCTGGATGAGAAGTGGAGCATCCGGAACTCAAACCGGCGCCCATATCTGCTATGCCACAGTGCTGGCCCTGTTTTTTATACTTTTAAAAGATGATTTGAAATTGGAGTATTAGGACTTTCAAATAAATAAAAATCAAAACAGAGAGTAGAGGCAGAGAGAGAGAGGTCTTCCATTCGATGGTTCACTCCCCTGATGGCCGGAGCTGCGCCAATCCGAAGCCAGGAGCTTCTTCTGGGTCTCCCACGTGGGTGCAGGGCCCCAAGGACTTGGTCATCTTCTCTGCTTTCCCAGGCCATAGCAGAGAGCTGGATCGGAAGGGGAGTAGCCGGGTTTGAACTGGTGCCCGTATGGGATGCCGGTGCTTCAGGCCAGGGCAGTAACCCGCTGTGCCACAGCGCTGGTCCCAGGACTCTTGTTTTGGTGTGTTTGGCACAGCGGTTGAGATACCACTTGGGACAGCCATGTCTCATGTCTTTTAATTCTAGTGTCCTACTGATGCAGACTCTGGGAGGCAGCAGAGATGGTCGCTGGTCCCTGTCATCCACATGGAATGCCTGCATTGAGTTTCTGGCTCCTTGACTTTGGGGATTTAGGAAGTGAACTAGTAAATGGAAGGTTGATTGTCTCTTTAATTCTCTACTTTTTAGATAGTAATAATAAAAATAATTTGTTTTGATGTAAGATAAACATGACTAATTGAGTTTTTGAAAATAATTTATTTGTTTGAGAGCGTTACAGACAGGGAGAAGAGGAGACAGGCAGAAAGGTCTTCCACTGCTTTCTCAGGCCATAGCAGAGAGCTGGATCTGAAGAGGAACATCAGGCACAGGAACCCGGCGCTCATATAGGATGCCAGCATTTGCAGAGGCTTAACCTACTACGGCACAGCGCTGGCCCTAATTGAGCTTTGCATTACCTTTTTTGCTGAATTTTTGTTGGCTACCAGAATTATATTTATGGAAGTCATTTATAAAATAAATAGATTTATAGGTGTCTAGAACAAATTAAAAAATAAACTGCTGAGAATAGTGACCTGTATTTGGTCTTAATGTGTAAGTCAGGTTTTTTATTCTTCGATCTGTGGAAGATGCTAAGAGTGATTATCTCAATAGGCACCCGCCAGAGTGTCTTTCATATAGTTCCCTTTGAAGTTCGACTGCAGATACGATTGTGGTGATGAAAAGACTTGCTGGAGGCTTCCTGTCTTTAGACAGAAAAATCCTTGAAGATCTAGTTAAAGTATGAATCTTGTGGTATTTTGGAAGGAAGAAATATTTTATTATGTTTAGTATGTTTCTGCCACCTTTCATTATGGGTATCTCTCCCCACCCCCCAAAAATTGTATTTAATTCTTAATTGGAGTTTAAAGTAGCCTGGTTATATCTTCCTTTTCCTTTTGTTTCTTAGTGTGATTTTTTTTTTTAGCAGTTACAGAAATAGGAGAGGAAAGAATTGATGGAGACGAATAATGACTTTGAAATGATAGATATTTTGTGCTATTGCAGCTTTGTATTCTTATAAATTAAGATTATGCCCGTGACAATTACACTTGCATAAAACCAGTTATTTTTACTTGGTCCTAGGAACATTATGCTTTTTTTATTTTTCAGTCTGAACTTTAACAAGTAGTAAGATCCTAAAATCTTTGCATTAAACTTAAGAAATTTCAAAATACTGCTTCTAACATTGGTTCCAAAACTTAATAAAATTGCTAAATTATTAAAATGTACTGTATGCCATGGTCTTTGCTAAGTGCATTGTCTTATTTAGTATTCACAACCACCATGTAAAATAGGCAGAGTTATAAAGAAATAGATTTAGAGACATGATGTTACTTGGCTGGTCATATGGGTAAAAAAGGTCCCAGGATTTCAACCTAGTTCTAGTTGATTCTGTAACTCAAGGTCATGACCAATGTGCTATGGAACACAGTAAAAACAAGGTTTCATTTTACCATAAAGAGCATGTGTTCCTCTTAACTGCTGGCAATTTCATCATTATTTATGGCTAAGATTTTTAACAGATTTAACTACCATTACTGTACTTAAATGGCTGTGTATTTTTTA